TCTCTTTGTCTTTCGTTGCTCTCTTTTTTCGCTCTAATTTTTCTCATTTTCTGCATCCACTTTCCACCGCTCAAATGGCAGAAAACCGTTAAATTCGAATCTGAGATACCAGGCGCACAGAAATCAGCAGAAGGTGGATGGTTTTTTTAAATTCTCTTTTTTTCTTGTTTCTCTTTGTCCTTCGTTGCTCTCTTTTCTCGATTAAATTTCTCTCATTTTCTTCTGCCTCCACTTTCCACCGCTCAAATGGCAGAAAACGGTTAATTTCAAATCTGAGATACCAGGCGCACAGAAATCAGCAGAAGGTCACTGCTTTTTTTAATTTCTCTTTTTTTCTTGTTTCTCTTTGTCTTTCGTTGCTCTCTTTTTCGCTCTAATTTTTCTCATTTTCTGCATCCACTTTCCACCGCTCAAATGGCAGAAAACGGTTAAGTTCAAATCTGAGATACCAGGCGCACAGAAATCAGCAGAAGGTCGCTGTTTTTTTTAAATTCTCTTTTTTTCTTGTTTCTTTTTGTCTGTCGTAGCTCTCTTTTTTCTATTAAATTTCTCTCATTTTCTGCCTCCACTTTCCACCGCTCAAATGGCAGAAAACCGTTAAGTTCAAATCTGAGATATCAGGCGCACAGAAATCAGCAGAAGGTCGATGGTTTTTTTAAATTCTCTTTTTTTCTTGTTTCTCTTTTTCTTTCGTGGCTCTCTTTTTTCTATTCAATTTCTCTCATTTTCTGCCACTTTCAACCGCTCAAATGGCAGAAAACCGTTAAGATACCGTTGAGATACCAGGCGAACAGAAATCAGCAGAAGGTCGATGGTTTTTTTAAATTCTCTTTTTTTCTTGTTTCTCTTTGTCCTTCGTTGCTCTCTTTTCTCGATTAAATTTCTCTCATTTTCTTCTGCCTCCACTTTCCACCACTCAAATGGCAGAAAACGGTTAATTTCAAATCTGAGATACCAGGCGCACAGAAATCAGCAGAAGGTCACTGTTTTTTTTAATTTCTCTTTTTTTCTTGTTTCTCTTTGTCTTTCGTTGCTCTCTTTTTTCGCTCTAATTTTTCTCATTTTCTGCATCCACTTTCCACCCCAAATGGCAGAAAACCGTTAAATTCGAATCTCAGATACCAGGCGCACAGAAATCAGCAGAAGGTCGATGGTTTTTTTAAATTCTCTTTTTTTCTTGTTTCTCTTTGTCTTTCGTTGCTCTCTTTTTTTATTTAATTTCTCTCATTTTCTGTCTCCACTTTCCACCGCTCAAATGGCAGAAAACCGTTAAGGTCGAATCTGAGATACCAGGCGAACAGAAATCAGCAGAAAGTCGCTGCTTTTTTTAAATTCTCTTCTTTTTTCTTGTTTCTCTTTGTCTTTCGTTGCTCTCTTTTTTCGCTCTAATTTTTCTCATTTTCTGCATCCACTTTCCACCGCTCAAATGGCAGAAAACCGTTAAATTCGAATCTGAGATACCAGGCGCACAGAAATCAGCAGGTCACTGCTTTTTTTAAATTCTCTTCTTTTTTTTTCTCTTTGTATTTCGTTGCTCTCTTTTTTTATCTAATTTCTCTCATTTTCCGCCTCCTATTCAACCGCTCAAATGGCAGAAAACCCTTAAATTCGAATCTGAGATACCAGGCGCACAGAAATCAGCAGAAGGTCGCTGCTTTTTTTAAATTCTCTTTTTTTCTTGTTTCTTTTTGTCTGTCGTAGCTCTCTTTTTTCTATTAAATTTCTCTCATTTTCTGCCTCCACTTTCCACCGCTCAAATGGCAGAAAACCGTTAAGTTCAAATCTGAGATATCAGGCGCACAGAAATCAGCAGAAGGTCGATGGTTTTTTTTAAATCTCTTTTTTTCTTGTTTCTTTTTGTCTTTCGTTGCTATCTTTTTTCTATTCAATTTCTATCATTTTCTGCCTCCACTTTCCACCGCTCAAATGGCAGAAAACCGTTAAATTCGAATCTGAGATACCAGGCAAACAGAAATCAGCAGAAGGTCGCTGTTTTTTTTTAATTCTCTTTTTTTCTTGTTTCTCTTTTTCTTTCGTGGCTCTCTTTTTTCTATTCAATTTCTCTCATTTTTGCCTCCACTTTCCACCGCTCAAATGGCAGAAAACGGTTAAGTTCAAATCTGAGATACCAGGCGCACAGAAATCAGCAGGAGGTCACTGCTTTTTTAAATTCTCTTCTTTTTTTTCTCTTTGTATTTCGTTGCTCTCTTTTTATACCCGTACTCAAAAAAGAGTTAAGGGGTATATTAGATTTGTGGTAAAAGTGGATGTGTGTAACGCAGAGAAGGAAAATTTTCCGACCCCATAAAGTATATATATTCTTGATCAGCATCAATAGCCGAGTCGATATAGCCATGTCTGTCCGTCCGTCCGTCCGTCCGTCCGTCTGTCCGTCTGTCCGTCTCGATGAGCGCCTAGATCTCAGAGACTATAAGAGCTAGGGCAACCAAATTTGGTTTCCACACTCATGTGATATCACACTGCTACAAGTGTATTTCAAAATTTTGCCCCGCCCTCTTCCGCCCACACAAAGGACGAAAATCTGTGGCAGGCACATTTTTAAAGATACGATAAAACTAAAAACGCATTATCGTAGAGAATGCCCATATCTACCAGACTGCCGAATCTGAATCAGATCGGATCATAATTATAGCCAGAATGAAGAAATTAATTTTCAGTCGCTTCCCCTACCCCCTCCTGCCCACGACAACACAACTCATTTTCCATCTCGCTCGCACACTCTGTCGCGTTCAGTGCGCGAGCAACCCCTAGCGGAGGAGATGTAGAATCTAAATGGTACATGTAGAATATACATGTTAGATGTATAATATAAAAAGTATATGTAGATGTAGATAACAGATGTAGCAAAAAAATGTAAAATGTAAAATTTTTTTTTTTTCTAAGATTCTAAAAAATCATATGCTCAAAAATGTATATATTGACTGAGTACGGGTATAAGTAGAGTCGCGTCCCCAGAAGCGACTCACACGTTCCTTCTCGTTTTTAATAATTATCCGATAGTTTTCAAATTAAAAAGTTGGCTAGAAATTGTCTGAGTGCATGATTATAATAAATTGCGTGACAATATCTTTGAAAATGGGCGCAAAAAGTCTATAACGTATCGCTTTGAAATTTAAAATATATATACTTAAAACTCCAAAGAAAATTTGGACAAAATGCTCGAAACTTTCCCTAACGTTTTAAGTATGTTTACATATATATTTCAAATTTCAGAAGGATGCTGCACTGCGTTAAAAAGTTGCAGACTTTTGGCTCCCACTTGAAATGAGAATTTTTGACCCGCCCCAATGTACATGATCAATGATCGACATAAACTCGTTTAAACACTGTCCAGTTCCCGTTACTGACTGATATTGTTCTCTTGACTGGAATTCTATCTCATATGTACTTTTAGTTGAAATTTCAACATATTTAGATAATTCCTTTCAGTGGTCGCGCATAGCTATCCCTTAAATATTCTCGACCTCGTAGCAGGACTCCGACTCCGGCTAAGTCCGATGGGTGTGAAATAGATTCATATAACAGAACTAACTTACAAATATTGTATTTTAAAGATTTTATTGTGTGTTTGTATGTCAAAATGAATGGAAGCCGTAACCGATTATTAATCTGTGCTGTGCAAAATATCCGTATAAAATGTAATAGAAGCGAGGTGATCATTTTAAAAAGGTTTTGGAATTGTTATCCATTTGAAATGTAGTCGGAAATCAGAACAGCAAGGTAAACAATACATTTGTACTGTAATATGTGCAGAACAAGTGAAATCGGTTTTTTTTTTTTTTGCTTGTTTGTTACTGAGGGCATTTTAAAAATCATGTACGGAATATTATACACAAAAAAAAAAGTTGTGGGATCAAAATGGATTACATTGCCTGGAAATCGAAAAGTCAATCATAATTAAACCGAATTCAAATACGAATTTTGGACTTTTTAATCTCGTTTAGATCCGGAAATCCTGATGCACTCCTGGCATTACTTCACATTTGATTTTGTGTTGCATAGTGTATTTTTTAGATTTTTAAAGCGATAATAAACACATAACAATTTTTTTTGTATTTATATACTAATATAAAGTAATGACCGTAGCTAAAAAGAGCGCATGACAGCGCAATGCAAGAAATTTATGTTTTTTGTACCTTGAATTTCAAAGTTGCAGGAAAATTCAAAGTCAGAGTGGACGATTAGGAAGCAGAGGGCATGGGCAGACATCACTCCAATTAAGTAAAGAGCATTGGGCAAACCAAATCGTCTAAATATTTTATGGCTTGTCATTGGAGCGATGTTGTGGTATAAATGTGAACCTACTGCTGCTACGTCAATATTCTGGATAAAAAATGAATGATCAAATTCATTAAAAATCATTCAATTAGAATTAGAATCGGGCAAATTTTCCAAATTAAATTATTTTCGAAATTCGAGGTTCCGAATGGCTAATATTTGGTAAGCCGATTGATGATCGTTCTTGTATCATCAATCAAATTTAATTCGTGCTTTGATACTGTTAATGGAAATTATTAAAGCGCTCATTGAAATGAATTCAGAGCCGATTGAATCAATTCAAGTTCGTTTATTTGTCTACGTAATTTAAGCGATCTAAACTGTATTGTGAGTTGTATACCTGCCTGGTGAACTGCTGATGGACCCAAAACTTTGTAAATACGATGGGAGAATATGGGCGATTTTGTTCACTTTGAAGGCAACAAAACATAATAAAAAATGGAAATATGGAAAATCAAAAAGGATTAATTTAACACAAATACCATAAATATTTTTTTTCAAATCAAGTGTGTGTTTATTTTGGTTTTTGGTACTTGCTATGGGCCATGGATGTCGTTGATGTCGAATCAATTTAATCTGAAGATCTTAAAGGGCTAAAGGACAAGGTCTGGGGCAGAGCCCTTTCTGCTGCTTTGTGTTGGGCATCCAATGAGTTTCGAGCAGGAATGCGAGTAAGCTTGAAGATATTGAAGATCAAGTGATTTGGTTTGCCTTACATGAATTTAATTGCTGTCCTGCGATAGTGTCTCATGTGTGTGTCTTGTGTGTGTGCCTGCACCGCGCTAAAAACTCAATGTTACATAAAAATAAATAAACAAGCACCTCGGGCTAGAGAGTGAGCCGAAGTCTCAGCAAACAGCACAGCTGCCGTGGGATGAGTTTGGCTTTTCATCTGCCTTGACCACACTGCAAAAGGTTTCCAATTTATAATTCAGTCGAGTTGCTCTTTTGTCTTCTGATACGCAACTTACGCCATTTCGTTCCCATCCGAAGAGACGTCCTCTGGGCGGTCCGCTTGGTCCCCTGGAATATCTTCCATGTCCAAGTCAATTTCCCCCAATTCCATGGTAATCTCAGCCAGCTGCAGGAAGGTTTCTCTCGGCTCAGCTGGCACTCAGGAGGATAAACCGAAGGAGCACTTACCCCTGCGGCTATTTCAAGTCGCGTTTGCTCGTAGATGGCGCACAGCTCGTGATTGCGTGCCAGAACGCCCTTGTAGGCGTTCAGTTTGTCTTCCCACCGCTTCTTACGCATATTGATCTCCGCCATGTCGCGGGTCACTTTCGGGACTCCCCTGGGGGTTTGTAAGATCTCTACGATCTGTACGCCCGACTGGTAGTCGTCCTCGTCGTCCTTAGCCTCTAGTGGGCCAATCTTCAAGGCCTGGGAACTGGCCTCGTACGGGCAAATCTTTGAGCTCTCATCCGCACCCAACTGTGAACTATTTTCGTCTGTGCAGGTCTCTCCGCCCTCATAGCAAACCAAAGAGGAGTCGTCGGAGCTTGGGGGAATCTCTGAGCTGTTCCCATGCCCATACGTAAGATGATCGACGTGTGATGCAATCTCTGGGCCCTCTTCGGATCCCCCGACGAATGGGGCCACTTCAAGGCCCTCATCCAGAGACAACTGGGAGCTATCGGCGTTTAGGAGCATCTCTGGGGTCTCCAACTTGGAGTTCCCCTCGTGTGGGCAATCGGCATTGGCCCGATAACGAACCAGCTGGGATTTCTGCCCATCCAGGAGCACCTCCAGGCCTACACGCGGGCTGAACTGCTGGGGCATGCGATTCATTGTACGTTCGGAGAGTGTTGAGTTGAGTGACAGACAGACTGTCAGTCCAGTGGTGAGGGTCTACGCAAGGCTTGCCCAGACACTGACAGTCAGGACCCTGGAATTGGACTAGGCGGGGAAACTGGCCCCAGGGAAATAAATGGACATTCCTTCGAGCGGTGGAAAGAGGAGGCAGAAAATGAGAGAAATATGATCGAAAAGAGAGAGCAACGAAATACAAAGGCTTTCGACTTTGCAACTTTGTCAATAAATTTATATTTATTACGATAAAATTATGTACAAACGTATATCTTTCTATATATACATATATATGCAGATTATTGGTATTTATGTACATACATGTATATTGATTTTTTACCAATTTTGTATCATATGCATTGATTTTTACTTATGTATATAAATATTGTCTAAATGCCGTCGTCATTCGACTTCGTTTCTGCCGTACTATCAACTTTGTCAATAAATTTATGTTTTTTTGATTCCATAAAATAAGTGATTTTAACTAAAATAATTTTATATATGTATTTACATATGTGAATGAATATGAAATTATGAAATATAATTAAACTATATCCGAGGATGTCTTCGAGGACTTTTTCTGGCGTTAGCCACTCCGATTTGTGTCTCAAATGTATTTAAATACGTACGCTGAAAACTAAGCTGCACCACTTTCGTTGTACACTGATAAAAAAAGGCATAGTAAAAATAAGTACATTTATATTTGAATTTAAAATGCGATTTTTAAATACAAACATAGTCAAATTAAGTAGAATTAATTTTGATTCAAACATAATTGTATTAAAATGGCCTTTTTAATGCGATCTTAATACAAAACACTTTAAAATAAATATAATATAATATAAGATATAAGATAAGATAATATATATAATATAAGAAACATATTAAATTTATGTATGAAATATATTTAATTTAAATATTTTCATATTCATATCAAAATGTAAGTGAAGAAAATTCAATTTTAATACAACCACTATTGGATGAAAATCAATGGCATACATATTAAAATCTAAGTGAAAATATTAAAGGCTTTTTTCTATCAGTGTATGAACTGGCACATCTATATACTGTATGGTTAGTGGTTTTGGGCAAAACTCAGTTTTTTTTACATAGGTTTAGCATAGGGGCCTAGTGGTGGAAAAAAGTTGAGTTATGGTTGCGTTTCAGTTGCGTTTGTTCGAATCGTAGAATCGAATTTCAACCCTGTTCGCCAATCGTGTGAACTATCACCACTAGAAACAACAAAAATACATGTTACCTACATAGAAAAATAAAGGAAACATGTCAATTGGCATATATTACTTCAAAATGATACTTTTAGCCAATTAGTGTTGATAGTGTTCAGTCGAAGAGTTCAGCCACTATTTGTGAGAAAATTCAAGCCAGTAAAAGTTAGTTACTTACTTTGTTTTTGCAGCTAAGCCTAGTACTCAGATCCAAAAACTGTTTGCTAGCAAACGAATATCATATATTCTTCCAGCGGCCAGTTGTGTGACCAGAGGTGTGCACTGCATTCCGTACGGTTACACTGCTCAGACCGCTGCTTGGTTTTGTTTAAAGTTAATAAAATGGACTTCTTCGGCTGGGGTCGCTCTTCCCCAGGCATATCCTTGGCTTCCCAACATTTTATTGGCAGGGTAATGTGTCTGACTATCAGCAGCAGCAGATGGCGACGCCTCCCGTGCCGGACACCGTGAATAAAAAATGTTTTGAAAACAATATTTGTTTTATATTTATGAAAATTAATAAAAATTATAAGTTATAGTATCCATATAATTGTCATTCATATAGCACTGCATTAATTAGATTATATTTGTCTACATTATTAAAATATTTCATTTGGTTTTGTGTACTCTTATTGCAATGTTTGCTTCGTGTTTGCTGGCAAAATATATCAAATTGATATAATTTTCGAGGTGGGTCTAAACATACCAAAAAAACAAGCAACTACTTCGGATACTTTTCCAGTATATACCGACCTTTTTTTTGTTGATCTGAGTACTGCCTTCCGTACAGAGCCTGGAAAACAGTTTTTGCCGTAAACAAAATCTTATCAGTTTCATACGAATATCAACCCTGATTCTGTTCGCGAGGTGTTTTTTTCGGTCTGAGTACTAGGATTTAGTCAAGTCTAGTGTGATGCGGCCATTACCGATAACGATTGGCAAACATGTCAAAATAAATTCAAACATTGCCACGTCTTAGTAACATTTTGCTGTTCAACACTGACAAGCAGAAAGTTCTGCAATATTTCTTTCTGTCTGTCAGTGCGAGAAAATTCTCATTAATCATTAATTTGTCAACGACACAGGTCGTATTTTCGTTTCGGGGAAAAGTTTTAAAATGTGTGACAATATAAATAACGAGCTAAATCAAGACATGGACGATAACCAAGAGGCACCCAATCATGCAAATGATTTGGCTGTTGATTGTATGTTTCGTAAAAACTGTAGTCAGTTGTTTTTGTGCTAAATTGTATTTTCTTGCCAGTTCCCAATGAAGCAGAGTCTCTATTAGACGATCAATCCAACTTTTCTGCTATTGTGGACTATTACTTGCTCAGTAATAACGTACCCCAACCACCGATTGGGATGGACATCACCTTGAACCACCAAATTGAAACTGGAACACCCATAACTTTTGCATTTACTGGTAAGTAAACTAAAAAATTGTTATAAAATGTATTGAGCTTATTTTAATTTTTAGGTGGTCACCATGTCACGATTACCACAGCATCCAATCAAGTAGACATGGTTCTCAGCCCGCCTCATGATCCTGGCCGGGTTCATGTGCAGATCGATTCGCCTGGCCCAAATTCTCGTCTGACCAACAACAGTTCGAATTCGATGGCTTTCGTTGAACTCTGCTGCGGAAAATGCCTTACTAAAATTAACCAATTAGAGCATATGCGTGCCACCACCTGCGGCCATGTATTCTGTGACAGTTGCCTGCAACAGGCTCTGAGCGAGAAGGCCAATTGCCCCAAATGCGATAAGCCCGAGGTGTATAATAATTCCATACGTTTATTTTGGTGTGGACATTTTAATCCTTGAAATGCAGTTTCGCTTTCTTTGGACGTGAGGTGCAGAAGAAAATGAGAAGTTGGAGAAAACTAAATAATAAAAATCTTAGCACTGTCTCCTACAAGGTTTATAAAAACTACAATAAATAAATAAATACAATCAAATGTACAATCATAGTTTACTTTTTACAACAATCTGTTTTATTTCTTTTCTTTTAAGCTCTGGAAAATTCACTATTAAATGCGTATACTTATAACTCCTTTTGGCTGAGGTCCTTTTTTGCGACGTGAAAATATTAGATCCATATATAAGGCGTTGCATACCGAGCGCACCTCAAATTGCTATAAAAAAAAACTATTTTTTTTCAAATTCAGTGTCTAGTAGGCTATGCATCTAAAATAAAATTACACAATAATGTAGTTAATATAAAAACACAACCATTTAAAAATGCCTAGTCTAATTAATGAAGAGTTATCGGAGGAGAGGCCAACTATCGTTTTGCCCGTGTACCCAAAGCCACTGCCGGAGCGGGATATCAGCCTGAGGGTTGATGAGAATGGCTTTAGTACTTTAGAGAAGGCTGCACTGCGCAATGCTTGGCGTTTTATTGAGCCCTTTCAACGTCGCTATGGGCAGGACACATTTTATGAGTAATCTTCAGCATGCAATTGCAATTGCCATCTTGTGATACTTAACTAATAACAATTAACCATCATGTATGCATCAGCTTTCTTACGGAACATGAGAATTTGATCAACTCCTTTCGAATAAATGAAAAAATTCACATGAGTAAGCTTCATGGGCATGCCACCGCTATGATGAGACTTCTCTCGAAATTGGTGCAAACCTTAGATGAGAATCTGCAGTTTCGTTCGAGCCTGGATGAGAATCTGCCCTTTCATCTGACAAGCGGCATCGACGTCGATTACATGAAGGTAGGAAATTCCCATTCAAAAATTTACAGTTTTTAAGCATGTTTATCATTTTACAGATGCTGGCAAATGCCTTGAAGGATTACTTGCTGGCGTCTCCGGTCATACAGAAGCATAACTCCTGCACTCTAACCACTGCGCTTGAAAAATTGGTGACAATTGTCGGTGAATATGCTGAGGCAGATGATGCCCGGAAGAAAGCCTTGTCTGGGTTCTACCGAAACACCAATACTAATATCGTACCCGTACCCGTACCTAAAAGTGAAAGGGCATCCAGTGTTAAGAAGTCTTTGGAACCAATCGAATAGTCCTAAAACACAGGAATAAAATGGCGAAAATTACTTACTCTCTTTAATTTAGTAGGTAATGAATATTTTGTATTTCCATTTTTAATTAAGATGTACATTTTTTAGCATGCTGTGGAAAATCCACAAAAGAAATTATAATGTAAATATATTTTCCTAAAATTCGATGTTTTCTGTTCTTTACACTTTACTCTGAGTTGTGTTCTGGATTTAGTTTTTGTCTTTTATGAGTAGTGATCAAAATTAATCGATGGCCTCTGACGAGAATTCTAACAAAACGTCATCTTCAGCAAGTATTAATATTGCCAAGCAAATATATCCAAAGCCTTTGTCGGCATTACGGCTGGGTCCCATTAAGGATGAGCTAGGATTTACCCTCACCGAGAGGGTGGCTCTGAGGCAAGCGTGGAACCTAATCAGGTCTCGAGAGCGACGATTTGGCCAGGATGTATTCCATACGTAAGAAACGAAACATTGGGTACCTCTGATCTACTCTGGTGCCTAATTAATATAATGTACAGATTTTTAAACGAGTGGTATTGGACAATCTATAAATTCAAAATTGGTGGAGAAATCAACTTGGCGCACTTGCACGGCCATTCTCTGACATTTATCCGCTTTGTGGGCGCTCTTATCAATGAGCAGGATCCGATCATGTTCCAGGTGATGCTAAATGACAATAACCAAACACACAGCCGCTGCAAAGTGCGAGGGGAGTACATTGGGGTGAGTAACGGTTTTAGTTTGGTCTCGTCTCTCCAATCCGTGTGACGTTATCTCTGCCCTACCAGATGCTGGCCCAAGCCCTTACGGACTACCTTCTGAAGGTACTCGATAAGGTGAGCTCACCATCGTTGGAGCGAGGCTTACAGCGAATAGTTGAGAAATTCAAGTCCTATCAGGATATCGAAACAGTGAATAGCAAAATGAGCTACAATCGTCGTGTGAGCAAGAGTAACTTTAGCTTGCACAAGTTCTCGATATGAGACCATTTCCTCATCCGAAATTGAATGCGACTAGTTCTACAATCAGCAGGGACGTCATAGAATCGCCAGCTCCAATCCATTCAACACCAAGGCAAAATCGAAATTATATCGTGCTGTAGTCGTATACGTACGAGTATGCCGTATACAGCTGGACTGTATAGTACAATGCTGCTGCCACAGCCACTGCTGCCGTCACAGTCAACGTTGCTGCTGGCGTCGCTGCGGCCATTGATTTCGTTTCGATGTTAAGCGCGTTTCCTTTGAGAAATTCAGTTTTGCTCGGACGCTCAACGCGCATTCGCACGTTTCAGCAGTAAAGCGGTTTGCATTTATAGAACTGAAGCCGATCGGTATAGTTGTTCGAGTGCTACCGAATTATATATAAATCCCGAAATAATATAGCCGTAATTACGGCCCAAGCATTTGATTTTATCGTGTTGTTTTTTATTCAAACTGGAACATGGTTGCCACCGAGGACATTAAAAAGGTAAGCACAGGTAGCACATAATATACGAATTTTACGTAAACCATATTATGAGAAATCACAATGATTTTTAAAACTTATAATCGGAATTATGTGTGAAAGATAAGGGGTAATTTCTAAAAGAATCAATTTTGTGGTTAATGAATAAATAATTTAAACTCTTTATCAGGGCAGCTAATGCTTGAAGCAATATTTCTAAAAAGGTTATATTATAATTATTTCATTTAGATCACCCACATAAAGGGGTATTTAAAAATCATTTGTATTAAATAAATTATAAAATGTTATATTGACCCACGCTTTGTGGGCGTGTATCCATATTTTTCGGATTGGGTTCGTTAGGGAAAATAATAATTATAATTATAGATTTTTTAGACCTATCTTTTAATCTACGAACTAATTTATTGGCCACGTATTGTAAAATATCTAATCAATATTTTTTTGGCTGCCAAAAAATGTATACAAACTGCAAGATTTATACAAGCTACTGCTACTTGAACAGCTCTGTTAATGATTTGAACCGTTTTGAATAGTTTCAGAAGGTTGCCAGGCCGTCTTAGAGCTATCAGAGGTCATAAACCATCGATTAGGTCTATCACAGAGTACCACAGCATCAAGAGTTATGTACCTACATATGCACACTTGGGAGTATTGCAATCACACTGTGAATTTCTGGGCACAGATTACGTCCCACTCGACACTCAGCTGGGACTTCGTCCAACACCTCTTAATGAATTACCAAATAACTTGATTGGGAAGTCAGTCAATTGAGCACGGGGCCAAAAGATTCTTATCAAAATGAGGAGAGGCGTAGGGGCCATAAATACATGTGTATCAAGATTTCGGGGCTAACAGCAGCATGGCGGGTGATCGCCATGCGGTTCACGCAGTCACTAACTGTTTTCGATAATGGCCAATTAATTGTTTACCTTTGAGCGTGACGCTTGACACTTTAAATTGAGATTTCAAGCAAACGGTTGCCACTTGCTGGGCCCCACACTCGACTAAATGAATCATGTGTGGGCCCGCCCTCCAGATAAGTGGCCGAAATATGGCCTTATTTCGGCTACTGTCCCATATCGCTTGTACATATATTATCACGTTGTGACAGTAAAACAATAACAACAGCAGCAATATAATATAATTTAGTCGTATGTACATAGTTTCAGTCGCGTGCCCATCAGCTTTTGTATATTTACACCAGCTTATCTTGCTTGTTTCGAACTGTGGGGCAATCTGCACTGCAAAAATAATAATATTTACATATCAATATTTTTTGGCATTCCATGGCCACCGCATCCCCCATAAATACAAAACTATAAAACTGCCCAGAAATTGGAAAAAATATTGCCGAAACTCTTTGAAGTGATTTTGTGAATCAATTCACCAAAAACCTCTGTAACTCAGTTTAGAAAATTAGTTTATTTTGGTACTGGTCCAAATTTCTTGTTTCTTTCATCCCCAGGGAACTGAAAAAATCTTATTTGAGCTCCAGACTTTTCATAGAGCACAAAAGACTTTATTGTAAGGGCAAATTAATCGCGTCATTTGTTTACGAGCGTAGAGAAAGACTTTGTATTATATGTTCTCAGATTAAAATGTATTTTTGTATTCTGAATGATAAAATGAATGAATAATATGTATGATGAATAATGAAAGTATCAATGTTGTTTATTGTGCTGAGTAAAATCCAAGTAAAAAAAATGATCAAAACTGTTTAAAATGGGTTCAGATTTTTTATATCCATTTTATAACCATCCATAAGTGAGGGAAGTGCACTTTTAAAGTATACATTTAGGCTCCTCAGAAAACACCGCCACCACCAGTCTACAAATATGTACACTGTACATACATGCATACAAAACACACCTTGATGTATCTTCTTGTACCCACACAACAATATCACTTTAATTACCTCATGGGCAATGGACTTGAGCGAATTAAGGGGCATCAATAAAAGAAATTGTCTATCGCTGACTGCGCTGCCATGGGGAATAATAAAGACAAGGAAAATGTGGGCGTGTAAGAGGTAGCATTGAATATTAAACGAACGGTCCCATAAATGTATGTACATATGTATGTATATGTATGTATACACCTGTTCAAATTTATAGGAACAAGCCTCTTAAAACCGACACACGAGCGCAGTGGAAGGCACAAGGCGATAGCTGAACTTGACATCGTGAAAACGGAAATGCCATAAGCAATAATAAGAGTCAGCAGCTAACATCGAAGTTTTATGTACTCTTAAATTTTTGATAATTATAGTAGCATCCCTATATGAATATATAAGCTATATAAGCTTTGATCCTTATATTCGTAAGGTTTGGCTTATCTCAAAAACAAGAAAATAATTACATATGTATGTTCATATTTATATACATTCTGAAAATATATATACTTGTACTTATAATATTCTCGTTTGTGTTGCATATGTCTTGTGCAAATCGTAATGCACTTTGTAATGAAGTAGAGAGCAATGTAAACAGAGCAAAACAAATGACGCCGACTAATTAGCATGTGATGTGGATGAGCCGAACGCGCCTCTATCAGTACAGTGGGTGTGTCTGTTTTCTCGCTGCCTCTTTCTAGCGATCTCTCTCTCTCTCTCTCGCTCGCTTGTTGACTCTCTCTCTCTCTCTATTTTTCTACCGCCAACTATCCCTCTCTGTCGCTCTTTTGGCATATTTATATGCCTGTGTGACTTGTTTTGGGTGTGAATCTGGCGACAGGTTTCTTTTGGCATGCACTTGACGCCATTAAGATTTACGTGTTTTATTTTCAAATTAAACATTCCGCTTAAATTACATTTTAAACGCTCGCTTGCACTCCCCCCAAGGATTCATCATTTTCATAAGGAATGAATTTCCAAGCATATGTAGTTGTTGTCGTCTAATCAGAAACAAAAACTAGTTTCTATTTATAGCCGGGGTAGAGCTGATAGACAGGGGTCTCTTTCCTGCCATTTGGCAAGTGCAACGCATCGAAATGCATTTAGCAGTTTAATTTTAACTGGCAAAAACATTGCAGGAAGCATTGTTTCCTTGGACTTTGATCGGTTCAGGTGCGACGCCTTATGCGTAATATGTGCGCAGAATGATCTGTGGCATAACTTTAAAATTTATTCTATTTACGAACTATTCAGATCACAGTACTTAGATGGCAGACAACCTCTTGAAGGCATTACGATCAATGTTCGGGTGGTTTCATGCGTCTTCTCCAACAGGTTGCCCTAGTATTTTGGTGGCCTACCTGCCATGCCAATTCTGTAGAGATATTTCATCTGTTTGTGACGTACAACACAAGATTCGTGTGCATTTAATGCGCGTAATCCGTTGGCAATACAATGAAATGCCAACAAAGCGCCAGATAAATAAAAGTTCTATGCAAAGTAAAAGAATTTTCGCAAAGAATTGAGATCAAAATACGTTTTTTCGAAGAGTCCAACGATTCAGTCGACTCGAGGTGCCCGCACGAGACAAACCGTTGCCCACGAGGCTCAAACTAAAATTAGTGATCGAAAACAAAAACAACGAAATATTCAAATATAAATATATACATACATATGTATATGCACATCTTTCTTACTATAGATAATTAATATGAACAGATAAAAATAAGCACAATATAAACCGAAATATACAAACCATAAATTAGTGTTTTTTTAGACAGAAAAAAGTGTCACTAAATTGGACAGAAGTGCGTTTTGTGTGTGTGTGTGTTGACTTACATAAGACGTTGGGAAATAACAACCCGGAAATCGGGCCAGTTTTAAATGGATTCGGATAAAGTAGTTCGTGCCATGGCGCGCTGGTGGCAGGTAAAGGCAACAACTTGTATTCTCAGAAATACCAACAGTAAAGAGTTTCATCTGGCTAACGATTAACTCTAGCTAAACAGCAGATAGGATTTAATTGAAACAAGTGGCACTTTTATCATGTAATCATCATAATTTTTCTGTTATTTGTTTAGTGAACAAGCAATAAGTTGTACAGAATTATTTGGTGTTTCTTAAAGTGACCCCTTTTATTTTAGTTTTCAGATCACTTAAATTAGTCGATTGATACCTTTTTAATGTTTTCCACATTTTATAACTTGCGTATAATGAATTAAGCCCAGTCCAAATTAAGATTGCGAATTTATACATAAACAGACATAGGGTTAACAGAAAAGAAAATAGCATTTTAAAACCAATTAAAATGATTGATGTGCTTAAAATCATGTCGGATTTTCCAGGTGATAATTAATAAATATAATAAAATAATTCCCTGTTACAGACTGTCAGCCAAGAGGATGGTGATCCCTCAGCTCGCAACCCAATGCTATATGACCCACTGCAGGATGGTGTGGTTAAGACTTCAAAGACCCGTCAATACCTAGCTGCCCTGATAAGTAAGTGGCAAACATAATTCGGGTTTCTTATGAATCGATAACTAAAAGTTGTTCAACTTACAGTGTGTTTGGGAGCCGTTGCCGCGGGCACAGCTTTGGCGTGGACCAGTCCAGTTCTAGATCAGATCAGTGTACACCCTCCAACTAATACAACAGCCGGTAACTCAACAATGGGAAACTCTACAATTGCAAATGGAACCAGCCCAACACTGTTGCCTCTGCCAAGCGATGACCGTCTGCAACTAACAGCCGGCCAACGTAAGTAACTTATATTAAATTACAAGCATAGGCAATCGAACTCCACTCGGTCGTCATCAAGTAGATAGGGTTTATTGTACTTAGTTGTAATTCTAAGTGGTACTCATAGAGTACAGCCAGGGGTATATTAAATTGATGTGAATTTATATTACAGATAAACATATATATTGTTGAACAGCATCAATAGCCAAGACCGTTTACGTGTTCTCTAAATCTTGACGATATCACAGACTATTGGAGCGAGATTAATAATATTCTATATGCAGATTTCTGTATTAACACACTTAATCCACTGTGTTTCCACCTCTCTTACGTTCCAAGTTAGACTTACTTGTCAAGAAAAACCAAACTCCCCTTCCAGTCAGCCCAAGACTAAACTTTCTTTATAGTTACTGAGTAACGAGTCGAAAAGGACTGTTCCTTTTAACTAATCTCTTGAATAAGTGCATGCAATAAACGTGATTGATAATAAAATATAAGAGCTTGCTTAATTAGTGATAAGATAAGTGATAAGATAAGTGATAAGTAGATATTGTTTCATTTTAATTATTTTATTATTTTTATTATTTGGTTTTTTTCAGAGACCTGGGTCAGCTCCCTGCTGGCTATTGGCGCCTTTCTGGGTGCCATGCCCACGGGATACATTGCCGATGCCATAGGGCGCCGCTACACAGCAATGGTCATGAATGTTCCATTTATTTTGGCCTGGCTCTCGATTATTTTCGCCAATTCAGCTGGCTGGCTGTATGTTGGACGCTTTCTGATCGGTGAGTGGTTACTATCTTTTGAATATACATATATACAAGTTGACTAACAATCTGTGCTCTATCTAGGCATATCAACGGGCAGCTTTTGCGTGGTCGCACCCATGTACATATCCGAGATTGCCGAGACAAGCATTCGTGGAACCCTGGGCACTCTCTTCCAACTGTTGCTTACCGTTGGCATATTGTTCGTGTATCTGGTGGGATCTATGGTGTCCTGGACCACTTTGAGTACGCTCTGCTTGTTTGTGCCAATCCTTCTGTTTTTCGGCCTGCTCATATTGCCCGAGACGCCAGTCTATCTGCTCAAGAAGGTGAGTGAGTGCCCACTTAAAATTATTGCCACACATCTTCAAGCCTCTCTGTTGTCTTAAATTGCAGGGTCAACGTGCCGAGGCCGCCCTCTCATTGAAGTGGCTCTGGGGTCGCTACTGCGACTCGCGCAGTGCCATCCAAGTCATTCAAAATGATCTGGACCAGGCCGCAGCCGATGCCGGCATTATGGATCTTTTCAGTAATCGTGGAGCCCGCAACGGTCTGGTCATCTCCATACTACTGATGTTCTTCCAGCAGTTCTCGGGCATCAATGCGGTCATCTTCTACACAGTGCCGATCTTTCAGTCCGCAGGCAGCACTCTCGATGCGTCCGTCTGCTCCATCATTGTGGGCGTAGTGCAGGTGATCATGACGCTGACCGCCTCTCTGCTGATCGATCGGGCCGGACGAAAGATCCTGCTGCTATTCAGCAGCACCGTAATGTCTATCTGCCTGGCCATACTGGGTGCCTACTTCGACATGAAGGACAGCAACAAGGATGTCTCCTCCATTGGGTGGCTGCCGCTGCTCTGCGTGGTGCTGTTTATGATCACTTTTTCGGTCGGCTACGGACCCATTCCTTGGCTGATGATGGGCGAGCTCTTCCTGCCTGACGTCAAGGCCACTGCCGTCTCGATCACTGTGATGGCCAACTGGCTGTGTGTGTTTATCGTTACCAAAAGCTTTGCCTCCATGATCGAGTCTCTCGGATCGGACGTCACATTCTGGTTCTTTGCCACTTGCATGGCCGTTGCCACAATCTATGTGGCCACAATGCTGCAGGAGACGAAGGGCAAGAGTGCTAGCCAAATACAGTCCTGGCTAAATGGCCGTTAAGAGTTGCGGGAGCGCAACTAGTTCTCCTATTTTGTTTTTAGCTTAGTTTAGACAGGTGCCATTGTACTCGTAGGTAGATATGAAGTCACGACCCACACAATGCTGAAGGAAAACGCTCATCGGTTAGCCGATGATTTTATACTTTTGCAAATGGGATAAGTTCTGAATAGTTTCGCAAATACTGTTTTCAAGTCTTTTACTTTTTCGATAACTCAAACGTGTTGATATTTTCCCCTCTACTTGACTAAGGTTTTGGAAGGGTATAACCACTTAAATCCAATAGATAATATTGATCAAACTGTACAATTATTCTTATCAATATTGCACAATGTTATTCTTAAGTATATACAGTTCAATTAGTTCCTAAGTACTACCCCTTCCCTTCATTTGATAAGTGAATCTGAATTGGGAGAAGACTCTGTGCTCGTCCTGTTTTATCGCCTTCTTATTTGTAGCACTTTATTTAGTATATGTTTAAGCATGGATGGGATGATGGATGACAAACACTCTACTCTACTGTATGTACATACATGTGTATATATGTAGTTGATAATAAAACTAAACTGTACAGCAATCTCACGTGTAATGTATGCTTGCTTGAGCGCACTTAGTGATAACGATAACCTCTGGGCTTCTGGGCATCTGGGCATCTGGGTACGCCCATTAAAATGAGAAATTAGTAAATTATCAGGCACTGTCTGTCGCACCAAGCTCCGATTGCAGTCGCCCCACGTGGCATTGGAGACAGGCCACGCCTACCTTTGGCGCCAGGGTTTGTCGCGTCGCTTTCTACTCTCTTCGCTTCCCTTGGGGCTTGGTCAATGTGAAGGTCACCGTCGTTTGATTGATTGATCGACATCGAAAGCGACGCACAAAATGAAAATTGAAATCGTGCCAGCAGCCGCCTGAGTTGAGAGCTGTCTCATTTCCACATTCCACTTCGATCGCCTGCATTTCTATGCAAATATTGAATGCCAATTACAGGAAGCTCGACAAAGTCCGTATTTGTTTGGATATTTGCTCAACTGGTCAACAGGTTGTTGACATATATCTATATTTTATTAAGCAATAATCGTAAATGGCAACTACTCGTACAGCGGGTAAATGGCGAGCCTCTAGCATGGGGATCGGTATAAAAAACTGTCACTGAAAATTAGTAGATATTGGTGACAAGTCGCGATAATTGCAATTGCCGTTTTATCGTTTAAGTGCATGGTAAATAAATGAATAAATAAATGGATCGATTGCGGATAATCCCAGGCGAAAATAAAGTGTACATAAATGAAAGAAATTGCAAAATGTAAATTTCAACGAATGTTTATGCGGGACATGGAAACTTCTAAGAGAATTTCCATGTGCACCTACCTACTCTATACATTTGTTTACTTGTATCAACCAGGGGGGATATTTTTATCAATCAATGGGGTATAAAATATGACACATAACATTACCCCTTGAACACAAGCCTCATGATATGGGAAACGTGTACGAGCATTAAGCATTTAAAAATAATTAGTATGTGTAGCAGGTTGGCTTTATTTGTACGGTGGGAACCCCCAGAAGCAGTCTCGAAACATTTAATGTGTCTGCCACAGACACAAGTGTCAATTAGCACGCACGTTTGCCGGCTGGCCAGCGACTTTATGGTAAGTAAATTTGTATGTGCGAGTGTGTATGCTTTAACTGTATCGAGAACACATCGAATTAAGTCAATACCCCGGGGTGGGTCTGGTGCATGCTAATGAACTTCCTTAAAGCTGAATCGGATCAAAGTGATCCAACGTTTTCCACAGAATATCCGGAACTAGAGGTCTTTGAGCAGCATAACAACACTTTAAGTTTATTTATTGCTATGACATTTGTAGTCAAATAAGGCTGAACCAGACAATTGTCTGAAAGGCGCACAAAGTGTTGATAAAAATCCCGCAAATTCCCAGCTCAGTTCTCTCGTCTCTGCTTTGTTCAATGGTCGCGTCTGAGTGGCTGTTTAATTCGATATAATAGTCGCTGATATCTGTACTATGTACATACGTGTCTCTCTCTTCTATGCCTATTAGTGTTTTGAGTTTGCGAGTATATACTATTTGCTCTGTCTGGCGACTAAGCATGGAATTTAAATGCGTCTGTCATAATTTCTCTGCTTAATTTTGCATGCCAAATCAAACAAAAGCGTCAAAACATTCCCGCATCCACATCATTTCAGTTCCGGCAGCCAAACAAAACTGTAAGCTCTGATCTCTGCTTAGCCAGACACCAGACAGTTTTTTTCCACAATATACGTACAATACGCGCCGCCGGCTATTACTACGAGCTATAATTTTCCAGTGTTTCATTGATTGTGTTCTAATTGATAATTTCGGCTAATATAATGGGTGAGTCGACCTACTAAATGAGCTTTATCAGAATGGTGTTTTATTTTGTACACATACGTAGCTGTCTGTGATTTGTTGCCTCGCGCCTCTGCGCGGAAAAATTGGGCAGAATGTTTACCCTTGAATTATTCCAAAAAATACAAAAAAAATTATCAAATAATTGTTGTGCTTAGATTGGGGCCGAAACTAAACGCATTATCGCACCCACTGTTTTCTTAAATCTAAATAGCAAAATCTTTCCTTAGTTTCGATTTGTTGCCGTTGAGTTCGGATCACAAATTGTTGTCCCACTGTTTTAGCATTTTGAGCTAAGATCCTTGGCTACCACATAATCATTTGTTGTATTTTTCTTTCTCTGTGAGTAAAACAAATTGACACTTAAAATCTAAAGCCGACAGATATAAATGTGTGTTCCAAAAATAAAAGGATATTGGTCCTTTTTTATATATTTTATTTTTTTTGTCATAGCAATTATTATATTCGAATCATGTCAGAAACTTTAAGGACTTTATGTCACCTCAACGAACTATTTTGCAATGGACACCTGTTACTTAGTACGTCAGAGCTCTCTATAGTCAAGGTTTAGAATCATATCTCTATATACTTGACTGACAACAAAAAAATTGGTTTCATTTTCGTGGCGCCTAAGTACTTTTGACTTATCAAAATAACTCTTATTAAATGATTCGATCGCCTGTGTTAGTGTTTAATTAGTGAACGAATCAAAAAAAAATGTTTGATCAGTTGGAGGTAGCTGGCTCGTAAAAACAGAAAAAACCCGTGATAACCTTCAGAGTTTTAAAAACACTAAGCTTATGGAACATTTTTCCAAGATTGGTAATTTAAGAGTAGGTGATAATATTTACAGGAAGAAGTTCATAAAATATGTTTCAATTATAATAAAAGCTTATCGAATACAGCAACAAAATATTCATTTCTAGCCACTTGATTAGTTCCGAGGGTTTCATAAAAACGATTTAATTTATATCCCCAAAATTTGGAAAGTCTGGTGAAGCCAATATATTACGTTTTTGGGTTAAGCTGAAAATGTTGTATTGTTGTTTCTTTTTCCATACTTCCATTTCGATCTGAAGGAGCCAACTTGAATGCCAAGTTTTCCATAGTCACATGCGAGATACTCTTCAAAGCCATATATGGCTCTCCATAACAAGGTGTCACACTCTTTTCACGTGCTCCAGCTTACTCACTCAATTTGTGTCAATATTTTCGACTTGCTGAAGCGTAAAGCTGCAGAACTGTAATTAACGGAAGTAACTTAAGCATTACTAATCAAAACAGTTATTTACGCAGTCGGTGGCATTTGATTTGTTTGCCCATGTGTGGATATGGTGGGTAATGATTAAAAGGGGCCAGAGGCTACTTGATGATTAGAGCTAAGTTCTTGGTATCCCACTAACATCCCAATCAGCCGCCGTGCCGGACTGAACCGGGGCTGGATGCCAATTCATTGAAGTGGGGCAGGCGCCCTTTGCCGTCGGGTCGTGTAAACAAACAAATTGAGATTGGGGCACCTTCTCTTTGTCAGTTTTTTTGTTGCAGTCTTATCACACAGATGCACATACAATATTTTTGTATGTAGGTATGTAGGCCAGTTCAAGTGCAAAATGCACACACAAATGGAGCAATATCAACCACAACAACCAACGCAACAACAATAATATAAGTTTTGAAGAGAGATTTCGATTCGATGCCGACGCCGATGCAATGTGGCTCGATGGGAGAGCTAACGCTGATGAATACTAGATGAACGGGAGGCCCTACCCCCTGATAAGATAATGCACATGTAAGAGCACTTGTCGATGAGCATTATTGACTGAGTATTGATTTCGAATGCCGGTCATAAAAGGCGGAAAATCTTTAAATTCGCGCGATTCGGCGATCCAAGCAGCATTCCAGTTCTGTGCTGTGCGGTATACAGTTTGAATCATACTTCTAGTGCGGATTTTCTTGGCTTGATTTTGAAGGATATGTAAGTAGGGAATATGTGACAGTCAAAAGTTGCATCTGAAAAATCCTACATCCGGGACTACAGCGCAAAATTCATGAGAGCAATAACTGATTACACAGCATTAGCCATCGGAAAGTGTCAACAGTGCTTGTTAAAATAATTACACAAATATATTCCCTAATGATAATTACGGAAAAAGTTTAAAATTCGACAGACAGCTTTTTTCGCACTGCAATTAAATTAATTTTGTTAATGAATACATAGAACGCGATTTTTTATGTATTAATTTTCATGAATGTGTAAAGATCTGGCTGGCCAAATGCTTTGATAACGTGATAAACGAAAAGCAGACAGTTAATGTTGGGAAATGTGTACGAACAAAGTGAAAGTGAATTAATGGGTTGGAAGCTGTCTGTCTAGCAGTCATATCTGTTTACGTGATTCACTGCATTCTACAGAATGGACCGTGAACGAAACATGCCAGGCTAAGGGTCAAGTATAAGCCACTTGGAAATTTACAGGCGATTGAATTACTAATGGGGATAGCGTCATTAATCCACGTCCACTGATTTTCTAATGAGATTCTTTCGCTTTTTTTTTGTGTTTTGCTTTGGCAGCTACTGCTCCAATCGCCAGTCTATCCAGATGCCGTCAGTAAGCCACGAAGAAGAGACAGCAGCTAAATATTCCTATACGGAAGTCAGATCTTTTCAAATAGGAGAAGGAAACCCAAGCAATATGGCAGCCGAACCAGTCAAGACTGGACGCATTTTTATGGCCGCTGTTGCAGGTGAGTCAAGCTGTGATCCACTTGGACCCAAACCATGTGCCTAACCTGCTCTGTGACTTTTCCCCAGCCAACTTGTCCGCATTTGTGGTGGGCACCTGCCTGGGCTGGACGTCTCCAATTGGACCCAAGCTCAAGACCGAAGATACTTCCGACTCGCCGTTGAGCAGACCCATTACATCCGATGAAGATGCCTGGATATCCTCGCTGATTGCTATTGGAGCGCTAATTGCTCCGTTTGTAGCTGGGCCTTTGGCCGATCGCATTGGTCGCAAGTGGGTGCTGCTCTCCAGCAGTCTCTTCTTCGTTTTGGCATTCGGAATTAATATGGGCGCCTCAGAGGTGTGGATCCTATACCTGTCCCGACTGATTCAGGGATTCGGCGTGGGGTTCGTGATGACTGTGCAGCCCATGTATGTGGGTGAGATTTCTACGGATAATGTGCG